TTCCCCCCCCCCCCCCGAGGAGTCTCCCACACTTTGTATAGATTTCCCAAACGACCCATGGGCCATCCATGGGCCGCACATGGACACCCCGTTAGGCCCATGGACAGCCCATGGGTAGCCCGTTGGCAGCCCATGGGCGGCCAATGAGAGCCCTTCAACCGATCCAGTGTACTCCTAAACAATAGATTATCTGTGTTGGAACGGGCACTGTAGCGGATAACAACCCTAACGCTAACCCTAACGCTAACCCCAAGCCCACACGATAAATGCTAGGTTGGCGCTGGTGGCTAAGTTTTAGGTTGATGTACAGGTGGCTAAGTTCTAGGTTCATATGCCGGTGGCGAAATTCTAGGTTGAAGTGTCCACGGTGGGCACTTCATGGGCGGCCCATGGGTGACCCATGGGTGTCCATGGGAGGTTAAGCAAAACATTGTCACTAGTGTGGGAGAGTGCCCCCGGGGGGAGACACTTAGGTTTTCGGTATATCGTTTTTTCTGCACCCTTGCCTACATCTGTTGAAAATGTGCCTGCCCCCTGGAAGGTGATATTTAGCTCACACATAGGTCAGACCTGCCTCTCCCGAATAAGCACAACAACACCCCTTTCCTACAGTCGATCGTACCGTGTGGTCGAAAAAAACAGGCTTGATCCTCCTTTCGTTGAAACTCCCATGGAAGGAAGCGAAAGCTTGCACGCAAAATTCCAGAACATCCATGGACGTCCAGTGGGAGGAAATATTTCGTGAAGGGTCGATATCAGCTGTACAGCAGTGAGTGGTGGAATTTCCCATATCTATCTTCCATCGAGGCTTCGACCACTTCCACGGAAAGTTTGTCACTTTTTCAAAAGGTGGTGTGGAAGTCGCGGAGGCCATTGAATCTACTTTCATGGATGGTATATTGAAGCTACCATGCACAATGTGGTGGGAGGGGTGTACTCATACTCGTGCATGCCGTAGTCGGTAGACCATTGACCTCGCATCCCTACACAGCCGGGACGGAGCACGCCGGGTTCTCACCGGACCAGGCTCTCACATCACCAAGCGCGAAGCGCCGTGAGATATTCGGCGGGTCGCATGAAGGGTGCGCTGCATCCTGCTAAGGGTGTTCGGCATCTTGTGCTTACTTCCTTGCGTACGGATGACAGCTGCGTATGA